ACAATTTAACGAATATGTCTGTAATTTTTTATACATGTACCTGCTCATGCCTGTCTACGTATGTTTGCCTGTGTATCTTTTTGAATGTCTCCATAAAAGCATAAGAACAATTATAACAGTAATAATAATGATACTATTATTATTAATTATAATAATAAGGATGATATTATTATTAATAATTATAATAATAATGATAAAAAACTCACAACGATAGAGCTTGAAGGATGAAAAACTCATGAAGATGATGGGATTGAAAGATTTAGTGGAATCACTCGTCAGCACTGTTCCACAAGTAAATCATCTTAATAAAAATAATAATTATTATTATCATCATCATTATCATCCTCATTATCATCACCATCATCGCTATCATTACTATCATCGCTATCATTACTATGATTTTTCCAGAAAGTTGAAAAGGGTGATAAAGGAGACGTTGGTCCCGCTGGGCCGCCCGTTAGTACTCATGAATATTAATTAGACGGCACGCTAAATAAAGAGTTTATTATGTTAATTACTACAGGATAAGATGAATAGCTAATTATTAATAAATTAATAATAATTCGAAGGGGCCTAGGGGTAGAATTGGTCCGCCCGGAGCTGATGGAGTCAACGTAGAGATATTTAAAATTATTACATTAATTCATTTTATAATAATGGATAATTATATTTTTATATAATTATATTTTAGTCTTCTATCATTCTTAAAAAGTTAATTTTAGAGCAATTTTTAAATTTAAGAACTCTTTTAATTTGATGATCTATGTTTAGGGCCGAGATGGCTCATTTGGACCACCAGGGCCTCCCGGACCAATGGGATTTAAGGTCAGATTTTTTTATAGCATCGAATTTGCATAAAATATCATTTATTTTCTACAGTACTGCTTAAGGAAACACTCAATAAGCATAATGAACCATCTAATTAGTAGTAAATGTTTTGCTACACAGGGTGAACAAGGTGAACGTGGTTTGAAGGGCGAACGTGGTGAACGGGGATCAAGAGGCGACCAAGTTAGCAAATTATCATTACGACTCTAAAAATTAATTATGTTAATTATCAACCAGGGTTGTTACTACCGAAGCATCGCTTACTTATTCGGTATTGGCTTCGGTATCAGTAATGCTTTGAACGCAGATTTTTATCACGATACTTTTTAGACGGGGGAAAATCGCTATTCCATACCGATACTTTTGAACGTCAAGTGAATAATAGAAATTTGTTGATGATTATTTCAGCTTTTTAGTTTTGCCGTCTTTCGCGTGTTTGTTTTGAAAAAGCATCTTTCTTCCCACTGCTTCAAACAATTTATCGTTATGAGGCCATTTTCATGTTGTATTTTCACTAGCGAATGCATTAGCATGGATGAAATATCAGATGTTTCTTGTAAACCCGTGAAAAAGTTGAAAGTTATTGGTACTGGAGGCAATAACTTCCCAAATGAGCATCGGTTTTGGTATGGGCAATAGATTTTAAAACCGATATTGGATCGATGTCGGCGCAAGATTGTTGAGTTAATAACTCTTGCACCGAAATACATCATCTTAATATCCTATTAATCTTATTCTTTTGACCTGGTTGGTTATGCATGGTTTATATTTGAATATTTTTTAAATTAGGGACCGCCGGGACCGCCAGGTGAAGCTGCCGTCGTCGTGGAAGATAATTCGGCTGTTAGTTGTACCATAGCGGAGATGATGATGATGATGCTACTACTGATGATGATGATGATTGCTGACGACGATGGTGGGTATGAAACTTGAAATAATTACACATCTTAAATTTCATTTCGTAATTTTCGCTGTTGAATAATTTATGAGCCTCTGTAACTTCCCGTTAGAAAAAACCAATCGTCGGACCCATGGGACCTAGGGGACCGGAGGGACCTCAGGTAGTGATGATGGTGATGCTGATGAGAATAATGATGATGATGCTGATGACGATGATGATGACGGTGGTAGTAAAAGTGATGATAATATTTGCAATAACCTACAGACAACGATTATGACAATGACGTCAAAAATAATTTTTTTTATTTTACCCCAGGGTGCTATGGGACCACCTGGACACGATGGGAAACCCGGCGAACCGGTTTGTATCAGCATTTATCTATTATTATTATTATTATTATTATTATTATTATTATTATTATTATTATTATTATTATAAGAAAACTTGTATAGCGACTTTTATAGAACTACCCAAAGTCGCTATCCAACATAAGTAAAAGAAAAATTTTTGTCCACTTAAGTGATCAAACAAAAACATAAATATTTCGAAAATAAACACAAGTATACATTGTAAAAAGAACTAAAAAAAACAGATAAATCCTTTAAATTCATATATAGATGCACACATATACTCTCGACATGCCCAATCACTCAAAGTCATGTAACAACCATATAAGAACCAAACAACAATCATGTAGCCCGAATCAACCATTTTAAACCGAATCATAGATACGTTCATCCACACTTTATCCACACCGATCACACACAATACGCATGGAAGATACACGATAACATAAAATTCAGAACAACCAACAGATAAATACCCAATACCCCTCCACCAGTACAATATTAATAAGAATGTATGTATGTGTGTATGCATGTATGTGTGTATGCATGTATGCATGGATGTATGTATGTATGTATGTATGTATGTATGTATGTATGTATGTATGTATGTATGTATGTATGTATGTATGTATGTATGTATGTATGTATGTATGTATGTATGTATGTATGTATGTATGTATGTATGTATGTATGACATCAGGGTGAAAAAGGGGAAGATGGAGAGCCTGGAAGAGATGGCGAAAAGGGCGAACCAGTTAGTAATATACGCTTTAATTATAATATTATTGTAATATGATAATTATGATTATCATAATTATTAATTTTTGTTTGTTTGTTTGACTGTTTGAAGTTTGACAACTATGTTTCGTTAGTTTTGTATGTTGTGTAAGTTTTGTAAGTTGTATGTTTGTATGTTTTGTACGTTTGTATGTTTTGTATGTTTGTATGTTTTGTATGTTTTGTATAATATATTTCTGCCTTTTTGTATGAATATTTTTATTCAGGGAAAACCCGGAATTGATGGAAAACCCGGACCTCCCGGTGACGTTGGTCCCGTGGTTAGTAGTAGCTATGACGGAGAGGATGATGATAATTGTGATGGTGATTCATGAATGAGTGAATGTATGAGTGGGTGAATGAATGAGTGAATGAATGAATGAGTGAGTGAGTGAGTGAGTGAATGAACAAATAAACGAATGATGAAACTTTTCATCCAGGGACCCAGCGGACCAAGGGGCGAACCAGGATCTAGTGGTAGGGCTGGGACGAACGGAGTAGCGGTACGTTAACTTACGTTTTGGATTTTCTCCACACATTAATTTATCACCATTGTCACTATTTACATTAATATCGTCATCATCCTCTTTCTCCTCACAATCATCATCATCATCTTCTTCACAATTGTCATCATCACAATCGTCGTCATCAGGGTGCTCCAGGCCCGCCAGGCTTACAAGGTACCCCCGGCGCTCCAGGAATGATTGGACTGACCGGACCCAGAGGGCCTGAAGGACCTCCGGTATAATGATGATGATGGTGGTGTAATTGACGCTGTGATGATGATCGTTTTAAATAAAAGGTTATTATTATTCTCAACTTTGAAAAAAAAATTTTTTTGCAGGGCCCGCCTGGACCGCCCGGAGTCGTACGTTATGATGGTGATAATGATGATGGTGATGATGATGTTGTATGTTGGTGGTGATGATTGTTGACGATAATGACGATAGATATTGCGATGGTTATAATAATATGATGATACTGATGATGATATGGTGGTGGTGATGATATGGTGGTGATGATGATGATGATGATATGGTGGTGATGATGATTATGATGATGATGATGATTATGATGATGATGATTACAGAGTACGGTAGCTCAGACGCCGGCGCGAGTAGATTATGAACCAAGCAAGCTCTATGGACATCCGGTTTGGAAGAATTTTTTTGAAAATTATTTTTTCGTTAATTCATTTATTCGTTCATTCGTTCATTTGTTTATTTATTCATACATTCATTCATTCGTTTGTACATTCGTCTAGTCATTTGTTCATTCATCTATTGTTCCATTCATTCATTTGTTCGTTCATTATTTCATTTGTTTATCTATTTTCGTTTTATTTGAGGTTTTATTATGCCTTCCTTTCTTTCTATCGTATTTTCACCTTTCCAGGGACCAACGGGACCGCCCGGACCACCCGGAGTTGTTAGTAACATCATCATCATCACCCTCATTATCATCATTATCGTCATCATATTTTTCAACATCATTATCATCATCACTAGCCGGGTCACAGAGGTTCGGACGGCGCACGCGGTCCAACGGGTGAAACGGGTCGACCGGGCACGCCAGGATCTCCAGGATCTGCCGGATATCCAGGCACTCCCGGTGAGAGAGGCCAAGCCGGATCGCCGGGTATTCCAGGACCTCCTGTTAGTTACGATG